CTTGAGATTCATGCATGATCAAGATGATTTTTAATGATATATCAATTGCCCCTTTATTTTAAGACATCGAGGCCTACAGAGTCCGAAAATATATGTTACAACTTTTAGGAAATTTTTTATGCAACTTAAAATTTCAAAATAATCTATTCTTTGACATAGATGTCCTAATTGGCTATAAAAGTGTCGAAATTGAGTCTGAAATGTCGAAAAATGGTCACTCGAACTCTAAAAATGTCAGAATTGGACTTTCCATGCCAAAAATTGGAACCCGAGGAAAAATTGGCCCACCTGGTCTGCTTGCTTACCCATCGTGTCCCTGGCCCGATTATAAGACATTCCTTGGTTATGCATGCGACCTTTCTACTTGTCTGTGTCAGCTCTTTGGCCCGCTCAAGTTCATGAATGTGGGTCAATAGTGGAGTAGTGGGTTGGGTTGAGTCATAACCCATTAGTAGAGTAGTGGGAAGGTGAGAGTCATGGCCTATGAATGGAGTAGTGGGAAGGTGGGAGTTATGACCTATTAGTGCTCCTCCTTTCCTCTTTCCTTCCCTTCTTCTCCTCAAGTTGAGTCGTTCCTCTGGTCATATTAAGGCAGTATCTCCTATCCAGGTCTAGGGCCTCTCACTATGTAGGAGTCTCCTCCTCCTTTCCTCTTTTCTTTCCTTCTTGTCCTCAAGGTGAGGCCTTCTCCTGGTCCTATTGAAGCAGTATCCCCTATCCAGGTATAGGGCCCATTTCTATATTGAAGGGAACTTTTCCTCCTTCCCCCTTCTCTCCCCTTCAATTCTCTTACTATATGGGCGGCCTTCCCCTATCTTTAAATAAGTAGTATCCATTATCTAACTGTATGGCCCCTCTCTATACAGAGGTCATGATGGGGGATCACCCTTCTTTGAGATATCCCCAGACCAAGAGAGATTCACATCTATAGTTGGTTGATGATGGAGGTCAAAAAGATCGTTGTCAAGAGACTGAGGTAATAAGGGTTGTAGTTCAACGTCAGATAGAAGTCCGATAAAAGTCTGGCAATGGATGAGTATCCCAACGACGAGTGGAAGTCCTGTGATGGACAGAAGTCCAGTCACGGGCCGAAGTTTGACGTCGGGTAGAAGTCTAATGAAAGTTCAGAGACGAACAGAAGTATGGAGACGGGCAACAGTTTGACTGCATGAGGAAGTTTGGCTAGGGTAAAAATTTAGTGATGGGAGGAAATTCGGTGTAGCATAGAAGTTTGATGAAAGTTTGGCGATGGGTAGAAGTTTGATTGTGATCGACAACGGTCAACAAACAGGTGCCAGAGCTGAAGGGAAAAGTGTGTTGACAATAGTAGTTGGGCAAGGGGCCACTAATATCTAATATGGCGAAGGGACAATGATGGTTGCAGTTGAGTCATACGTTTTTGGAAGTAGTCTACATCCATACCAACTAGCGCGGACAGCAGGCATACCTAACCGAAGGGGTCGAAGTAATGTACCCTGTTAGTAGTCTAGTGACACACCAATACTGTTAATTGAGTGGAGGCTTGATGATGATCGAGTTATAACTTTTCTTTGAAGAGGAAGTTTAAGAAACACATCAATGTGTAGTAGAGAAAATGTCACTTAAATCCATCAGGGATATTCGACAATTTTGAAGTTGTTTGTTAGAGCGTTACTTGATGATGTTAACCCATATAGAATAGATCGAGAGAATTCACCAAAGATATATGACATATCCAAGGTTGTATATAAGAGCACTACTTGATAAAATTAACATATATGGAACAGGTCAAGAGAATCCACCAAGAATATATGATATATCCGAGATTATATATTAGATCACTACTATGTCACATTAATATGGAAGAGGTCGAGAGAATTCACAAAGAAAATATGACATATTTGAAGTTGTATGTCAAAGTACCTATGTGAAAGAGGTGGAGAGAATCCATCATGGATGTCTGACCTATATGAAGTTATATGTCAGAGCATTACTCGATGATGATACTATGTATGAAAGAGGCCAAAAAAATCTACCAAAGATGTATGACCTATCCGATGTTATATGTCAGAGCAATGCTCAATGACGATAACCTTTATGAAAGAGGTCAAGAGAATTCACAAATGATGTATGATCTATTCAAGGTTATAAGTCAGAGTACTGCTCGGTGATATTAACCTATACAAAAGAGATCAAGAGACTTCATCTAGGATGTATGACATATTCGAGATTATATGTCAGAGTACTGCTCGATGATGTTAATTTTTATGGAAGAGATCGAGAGAATTCACCAAGAATGTATGACCTATTCGAGATTGTATGTCAGAGTACTACTCGATAAAATTAATATATATGAAAGAGGTCGAGAGAATCCACCAAAGATGTGTGACCTATCCGAGGTTATATGTTAGTGAACGGCTCGAGGATGTTAACATATGTGGAAGAGATCGAGAGAATCCACCAAGGATGTGTGACCTATCCAAGGTTGTATGTTAGAGCACTGCTCTATAATTATAACATGTATGTAAGAGGTCAAGAGAATCCACCAAGGATGTATGACTTATCCGGTGTTATATGTCAGAGCACTGCTCGATGATGTTAACTTGTGTGGAAGATGTTTAAATGACTCCCCCTGGGATCAATTTTGCCTTGATTAGAAGAGAGTAAATGTTGTGTGTCTCCCGAATTGAAGGTGAAGAATGATCTATCTTAAGACCAGTACTGACTTTTTGAGGTCAAGATTAAGACCTTGCCCAAGGAGTAGAAGTCCAATTGAGGACTTATGATTTATTGGAAGCATCCTTGCATTCACTGGGAGTTTCCTGAAAATAGTTTCCCTTGATATTGTCTTAGATGTTGGAAGAATTAGAGGAATCTTCTTGACCACGGCTATAATCAAAGTTGCCCGCAAGTTTACTTTTAATTTCCATAAAATTAATGCAGTAATAGCTGATGCCAAGATGTTGACATGAACTACCTTTTGAAGTTGGAGCAAAAATTACCCCTCCAATCGGGAATCATGTTCCCATAGACAGCATCAAACTATTGCATCATGAAATATTTACGGTTGTAGAGAAATATGAAGTTTAAAGTCTTAGCTTTGTACGAAGATCTAACATACAAGCAGATAAAAGAGAACATGTAGCATTCATAAGATACACTAGAGTTTTTACATTGAAAACCCTAAAAAGGGGGAAAAACCATGGGGCCTGGCACAATTTGAATGAGTCCACTATTATTTGCAGTCGATTACAAATAAGGCCCTTCATTGGGGGGAAGTCCTTGGGCTGATGTAGCAAATGTACATCATATTATATTGTGGGAATTGAAAAAATTAATATTGGAATATTTGTTTAGTCGGCATAACCATAGTTGGCGAGCAATGGAGGTCGGAAAGACCATAGTTTGGTGATGGTGTTCAGAAGGACTATTGTCTGGTGAGGGTGGTCGGAAGAACCACAGTCGACAGGAAATAATGGTAAGAAAGATCGTAGTCGTAAGACAATAGTGCGACGGAAGTCTGGGCGTTATTCGATGGTCTAGTGGAACTCTGACTTTTGTCGGTGGTTCGATAAAAGTTTAGGCCTCAGTCGGTGGTTCGATGGTGGTTTGGCAGAACTCTAGCATCAGGCGGTGGTCTGGCAAAACTCCGACGTCGAGATGTGGTCTGGTGGAAGTCTGACGTCTGGCGGTAGTCTGACAAAAGTCCGGCATCATGTGTTGGTCTTGACAGAAGTTCGGCGTCAGGCGGTGGTCCGGTGGAACTCCAGCGTCAGGTGGTGGTCTGCAGAACTCCGACGCCGGGCAGTGGTACGATAGAACTCCAGTGCCGGGTGGTGGTCCGATGGAACTTCAGCGTCAGGTGGTGGTTCGGCGGAAGTTCGGCCAGTGGTCGAGGAGGCAAGAACGATCTTCGATCTCTCTTATGATTCTTTGCTTGGGGGTTCCCCTTTCATGTCAAAGAAAGGGGGGGGGGGGGGAGGGGGGCGTAAAACTTGACCTGGGGGAGGAGGGGTGCTCTATTTTTAGATTTTCTAGTGGCATGTCTTGTAAATAAATGAAAAATCAGAGGTAAGTTGGAGTGGTTTGGTTGGACGTCCGATATTAATTCCCTTGATAATAGACCATCTACTAGATATTTGAATGTCTTAGTGATTTCAAAATTCAGTTATATTAAGCTCATTGGATTCATCTCGTCGAGTCGCTCAATTCAACTATAAGCATGTCATGTTTGGAATTTTTTTAAAAGTAGATTTCGGAAATTGTCTGTCATACGCCAACACGATAGGAATTTTTCATCTATGAGTAGTGTTCTATTATGTTTTGTCACCATAGCCAATAGTTTCAACAGATAACAACATTTAATAAGGATAATGTAAGGCATCAACAACAACTCTGATTTTTGATATTAACACTAAGATTTAAGTGTGACTTCTTTGATTGTGATTTCCTCTTCTCAAAGGAGCACAACTAACAAAATAAGCAAACAAACCTTAAGGACTCTTATACCATAGAGTTCTTCTAACTTCAATCACGTAATATATTTTAAACCTTGCATGTTTATTACATTGAATCTATGCCTTCCTATGAGAAAAGGCATCATTTATAACTAATATTAAATACTGGTGGAATCATTTAACTATATCAAGCCTCATAATTTTTCTCTTTCATAGATTTTGCATGTAAAAATCCTAGTGACTCTTACAATTATTATTCATTTTTTTATTTCAATGTGCCGGATTTCCCTATAAAATTAAGATATTAAAATCTCTCTTTATATATGTATTATTTTTACTAGGAGAAATAAGGTATTTTTTATTTTTTAATAATTTAACCACTGAATTAGTAATTAATAAAAATATATGTTAAATATATAATTTATGAAAGATTTAAATGTTAACTCTTACATGCGGACTCAGTTGATCCGTCCATCTATTTTATATGTCCATCCAACGGTGATTAGACACTAACTTTAACTTCCATTCAGTATAAACCGCAGAAGAGTATATATGTAATATGTTCTAAATTTCGTTCTCTCTCTGTCCTTTTTCTCGATCATTACTGCCTCTCTCCTCTCTCTCTCTGCGCACAGGGAGGGGAGAGAAGAAAGAGAAGGAAAATAGGAGAAGTCAAGAGAAAGAAGAATGGTGATGTGGGTATTTGGGTATGGCTCTTTGATCTGGAAAGCTGGCTTTCAATATGACCAGAAGGTCGCTGGCTTCATCAAAGGTTATCGCCGAGTCTTTTACCAAGGTAAACATCTCTCTCACTCTCATTCCTCTCTTTTGCTTGATCGGTTTCTCTCTAATGGTATAATGCCTTACGGGTCTTGGATTGGAGCAGGGAGCACGGACCACAGAGGAACCCCAGCGTTTCCCGGGAGAACGGTCACCTTGGAGCCAGCTCCAGGTGATTTATGTGTAAGTTTACACCCTTCACCTAAATTTTTAACATGTGTGTGTGTGTGTGTGTTTTTTTTTTTATTGACTTGCTTACTATTGATTGCTTCTTAGTTTTTGATCGGTGTAAGGAATGAACTTTAAATTTAATTGTGCGTTTTTATGTTCTTCGCTTGCGCTATTTCTTGTAGGATCAATATTTGTTTGTCTAACTCCGTGGTCCTGAGAACAATGTTTACTTTCTTGTTATTTTGGGATACGTTTTTAGGGTTTTCCTCTTCTCTAATTCCAGTCGTTGGGTATTGATGAGGATATTCCATGAAATTGAACCAGTAGATTCGGATGGGCTTCATTAAGCTAATATGAATTAACAAGAACATTAGTTTATGTTACATTTGTTTTCATGGATGCAAATTGAGCTATGTTAAAAAAAATCATGGATATGAGTTTCTAGTGGCGGAGCCAGAAATTTTGTTCAGGAGGGGCCTAAATTGAAATAATTATGTTTTCCGCCTCATTTGAAAGGTTAGAATATATTAAAATAGTCCCGTTTGCCTTCTCATTACCGGAGCAAAGAGGAGTTGTAAAATCAAAATTAAGAATACAAATAGCATGACCCTTAGAGTTTAGAAGACATAAACATGGTGGTTTTTTTTGGGGGCGAGAGAGGAGCGAAAGGAAAAATGAAAGCCGTGCTCAAGGTCGTGACTCGTGAGTCGTGAAAGAGGAGCAACGAGGAAAACGAACCATTGATGCTTTTCATGTGTCCAGGAAAAATATTGGTGGCTTCTCTGGATTAATAAATAATTTTAAAAGGAAGAATTACAAAAATTAGAGTAGGTTTTCTCGTTGGCGAACTTGTTGCTCTATTAAGCCACTAAAACAATCAGCTTTAAGCCCCTTTAGGCTTTCAATTTTAGCTTTAGCCAAATTCTTTAGTGGAGATATCTCGTACTAAGTCATGAGTGCGCGGCCACTGCATTTCCACTGCGCAAGAAGGGCGAGGAAAAGCAAAAAGTACCCTTCACAATAATTAATTAGATCATTAGCAGTGCAAAAATAATTAAATAATTTGTGGCAAGTTAATATTTAATAATTATTATTAAATAATGAATAATTAGTTAAGGATAAAAGTTTTAATAAAATCATATTTAAATAGTTAAGTATTTTAAATAATAATTAATTAAATAGCCCTATAACTCTACATCAAAATCTTTTTTCATCATTCCGTCCACAATTGAAGGTCATTCCTCCCTCTCTATCTTTCTATATTTTACCCCATTAGTCTTTCTCTCTCTACAGCTGAAGCATTGCATGGTCCGGTTAGAGAATCTAGAGGATAGATTGAAGACTTGAAATGGAAGAAGTCTGTAATAAATAAAATGAAAGGTAAACGGATTGTACCCCTTTTTTTTTGTGGGGGGGGGGTCCCTCCGGCCATGTTTGTTTCCCTTTGCCTTAAATAATTGCTAAGCCCCTTTATTTTCCAGAAAGGGATTTTAGTTGTTAGCTAAGAATATATCTACTCTCTCGCTTTACCCAAGAGCACTCATCCCATTGCAACATGTTTCTGAATATCAAAGAAGGAATTCTCCAACATAAGTGAGATTCCTCCCTCACTTTAATCTATTGAATCTACCCCTTTCAAAATACTAAATCCTCTGCTCATGATTAATAATTACCTACTCATTGTTTAATCTATATTCACTTTAACTCACCCCAAGCACTTTCTATCCTGGCCGAAATTTTGAAGAAGCTTTTTTATTGTTTTTAGTGTGTTAAACCGATCTAGGAAGTCTTAGTCCTAAATCCTAAATCCTAAATCCCTCTATCAATGTTAAGATAGATATTATATTGTTTACATTCTTAGTTTTGGCACAAACAACGACCTTAAACTTTCATTTATCATCAAGCAAAGACACTAATCTATGATGCACTGACACTTCATGTGAAGAGGGCATGTAGTTTCCGACACGTGTCGGACACTGACACATGCTCAACACATGTCAAACATAGCTTCCACACAACCAATTAAAAAAAATTAAAAAATCAAACATGCATGTTCAATTTTATTATTTTTCATTTATCTCTCTAACACCTTTTTGACAAATATTACCACCTTAAATTTTTCTTTCTCGCAGGCTCAACTAGGATTTGGGTTGACGTTAACTGATTTATGCATCCAACCCCATCTTCTAAAGCCCAACTCTCGCATACTCGTCTCCCAACGTCTTCTCCCCTCCCGATGCCAAAGGTTAACTACAAAATTCGATGACCGTCGTTCTTTCTCTTAACGATAATGCCAACCCCACAACCTACTGAGACAATGATTGACATTCTCTTTTCCCGGTGTCAAAGCCTGAGGTCATCCAAATAAATATTAAATAATTAAAGGAAATGGATATGAACTCTCTAAATAAACAACCTTTAACTATAACTCTATAAGTTTATTACATAATGAAACATCATTTATAAAAGAATTTTCATATATATAATTTTATTGTTCATGTTATGATTTTGTCTATCATTTGTTTAAGTTGTGCTATTTGATATTTTATTTGTATTTTCATGTATATTATGCAATTTGCGATAAAAATTAATGAGCATTATTATATCACTATAAGTTTATTCTATTTATTTCATTTAATTTATATGCTTTCTTTAACTTTAAAATATTTTATTGTGTCCAATGTGTGTCCGTATCCTATATTTTCAATTATAAACGTGTCCTATGTCCATATCGTGTCCTGTCAGTGTCTGTGCATCATTGACACTAATTGATTTGACCATTGATTTTGAATTATTCTACTAGAAACCATCATGGTTAAAATTTGAAATATTTCCATAGTAAATCCTACTTAAAATCAATCAAAAGGAAAACCTGCATGACCTTTAAAGAAGTGGGAAGAAGGGTTTAATAAATTAGAGTTGCGTATTAATAACCATGGTAAACCCTACTAAAATAAAGCATAAGGAAAATTTTATATGACCCTAAAGATGTGGACCGAAAAATTTAACAAATCAGGGTTGCTTGTTACAACCGTTGTGAATAGATGACTCTCTAAAATTCAGAATCATCCAAAACAAGGAAGAAAATTGCTACATCCAGTTTTACACAACAAAGGAAAAGGAAAATGAATCTTAAAGAGTTGTAAGAAGAAGATGACTTGGAAATGGAATCTAAAGAAGAAAATGAAGATGCCAAACCGGTCTAATACCTTTAAAGATTTATGCAAAATAGAATTTACCAAGCTATGGTTTAGCAATCAGCAAAGAAAAGCTAGATGAATGATTAGATTATCTTGATTAGAATTATCCTTCTAGGCATTCATTTGTTAGATATTTGAGTATAAGGATTGTGACATGTCAAGAGTGCCTTGAACAAGATTAACAAGAATATTAAAGCTCAATTATACCCTATCAGCTTTAAAAAAAAAAAAAACCAGATCATGCAAGGAAACTTAGAAGACAAGTCACAGCCTTAGCAGTTCCGTTTGGGTAGTATTCTATTTTCAAGAACTATGTTTTTGGTTTCCATGAAGGTTCATCCAACGAACAAAAGCTTTTCTTGCTAGAAACATCCTTGTGGTATACTTTAAATCAATTGCATTTGAGAAGAACATGCCAAACAACATTTAAGATTATGAATCTGAACCAAAAAAAAAAAAAAAAACACAAAAAAGATTAAAGATCATCTGAAGTTAAAAAGAAATGAAGAAAGCCGTTTTGCTCTGCTGTCAAGATAAGCAACAACAGAAGTGTTCGAAACTATTATCAGGAGAAGTGGTCCAAGATGGGGGAAAACAAGACAAGCAAGATAACACTGCTAATGGTACAAACTCATTGAAGTTTTAGATTTGTACGATGCTGACTGCTTGCATCATCAACCATACATTCCTTGTCTTTAACTGCTTATGATAACAATAAGGAGAAGAAATGTGAAAATCTCTTTTGCTTAGGAAAACAACCTATTATAAGTGTTAAAATGAATTCAACATGCGAAAAAATATGATATCTGAAATCTTAGTTGAAAAATTGGGATTGTTTACTTTCGGGCATCCAAATCTATATTAATTGGTTGTTTAAAGAAGGGCATTAAGCACAAGGTTACCAATAAATGTTTTTTTCTTCTCGAAATTGTCATCGTAAGGAAATTCATGGATGTATCTTTTAAGGTGGTTCATTTACATGTGTATCATGTAACTTCAATAACCTTATTTACTAGTTAGAGATGCCATTTACTTTTGAGTAAGCAATAACAAGTACTTACGAAAATGAATAAAAAATTATAATCAACAAGTCTATAACACCATATTTGAAGAACTTCGATATTTTTTGGTAAGCGAAGATGCTTTTGCATGCAATGGATTAAAACATATTATAATTATAATTATAATTATAATTATAATTGTGTCAACCGTCCAAAATCTTAATCAGTACTAGAAGAAGAAGCAAACCAAGAGATACCACCACAAGCAAAATTCAGCAAACCAAGAGATACCACCACAAGCAAAATTCAACAATCTCTGCCACCAAAAATTAACTCACATCGCCAATACCATATGCCAAGGTGCTAAGTAATCCAGAGAGAAGAGCTCCTTATCTACCAAGAGCATGAAAACCTCCAAGTAAAAAGAAAAGCATGAAATCAAATCATCAAATATTTTGTGGGAATTCTTATGTACAAGTATCAAGCCTTTAAATTAGAGGAAGGCTTTATAAGATAAAGTTAGAAAACACCCACGGTTAAGTTGGAGAGATGGATTTTGCTCATCTTCAATTTATTTATAGGAAAACCTATAGTTGGATTTATGATCTAAGAGACCTTCTTACCAAATTGGATCAATCAAACCTAAATTGGCTATTGGGTTCTTAAACTTGAATTAACTTTAGGCCAACCCAACTGGTAGGTTGAGCTATTATGAATTGACATGATCATTGGGCTAAAGTTAGTATAAAAATAAGTAGGGCTAAATAAAGGATTATGTGATAGAAGGCTACAAGAAAATAATTTAGGGAGCTAAAAGTTCCATGGAGCACCACATCACAAAATTTGCTGTATCATCAAGCGTGGTCATTCATACAAGTTTTTACTAATATTTACATATCTAAGGAAGGAGGTCAACCACTTAGTCTTAACCCCCTCATAATTTTTTAGTATCTCCTTAGCATAAATATGAGAAAAAGGTTAGGGATATTTGAACTTATATATATTTGATTTGAATTTGGTTAAGTTTTTTATGTTTGTTTCTTTATTTCTTGTCTATCAATAGAACCATGTAAGCTCAGCTTCCTTAAATAATTCTTGCATCACTATACACTTTTCACCATCACATAGTGGTAGATCATATCTATCTACAAAGGCTTTCACTCTCTAGTCTAGACACTCTTTATTTTCTTTGATTGTTCCAGGGCTCTCATCTCAAGGAGACAACATCTGACATTTCAAGCATGGAAGGAATTTTCACATAGCAAAGAGACCACCTTGTCTGACTCATTAATATACTTTATTTTTAATCCTAATTATCATCTCATCTTTAATTATTTTATATCCCTCTTTTGCTTATTTAATCCACATCCTCTATCCATTGTTAGAAACTTTACTTATTTCCTTATATTTACCCCTATTTCTTTCAGTATTCTGCATCGCACAATCTCTTTATCATTAAAATTAACTGCCCCCTCTCCTTTCTTCTGCCTCGTTTCTCTCACATCAAAGTTCAATGTTTTTATGTAAAACCCACCCCTTTATTTTTTTGTTGTACAACACCCCCAATAGAGTTTCCCTATCCCAAAATTCAAATCAAGCCTTCTTTTTGAATTCCCACCATATTATTGGCTTGAAACATTGAATTAATAAACAATTTTACAAAATTCTCCCCAAAATATGTCTAACCACTTTAACCTAATCCTATCTTATCATCCACCCTTACCAATATCCACACCTTATCCTATTTTTTGTATGCAACCTATTTTATCCTCCCATTTTAATCCTATTCTAATACCCCCTCACCCATATCAATTTTTTTTCATTGAAAAACTCTATTTTATTTTTTTTTCTTTCTATGAGTTTCTTTTATTGTTTGGACACTACAAAAGATGTTTTGTTCTTTCTTCAACTATATTTAAATTTCTGAAGAAGAGTAGTTTGCAGCAAGCAGTTATGGATTATATGTCATGTCACAATATTTTTTATTATTGCCATTGTGTTTCTTTTCTGAGTTCATCATTAGTCTTTAATTATGTCCTTATTTTAACGATCATAGGCAATATGGCCAAGTCTTATTTTATGAAAACTTTAATTATTCGATCTCATCTTATAGGATTTTCTCTTATAATTAGATGTCAAAGATCATATAATAGTGGACAATGATTATTGGAATGAAAAATTGATGCTTTGTATTGCTCTTCCCTCCTCTTAGGTTATGTGCTAGGTTTCTTCTTCTCTCTTTCTTCTTTTTCCTCAACTTCTTCAAGACTTCCACATATCTTTAGTCTTAACTCTACATCATGTTAGCTATGCTCAAACCACACAATTCTATTTTTCATTATCTTATTTTCAGTAGAATCCCACTGACTCTCCATTATAATAATGCATCGGTATATCTTTCATAATTTTACCTCAAATCTTAACATTCTCACTTTATCAAGTTATCTTAGTCTTAAACAACTCTTTTATCTTTTATTATTCATTTTCTATATAATATATCTAGTCTAGTTAAAATTTCATTGTGTTTCTTTAGTTATAAAGCTAGCTATGCCTTCAAATCTCTATGATTTTTTTATTGCATAGTAAAATTTGTTCCTTTTAATCATCAAACTTAAATTTTAAAAGTTATATCCTTATGTATATCTCATTCTTTTATATAGATCCAAATTATTTATGATCAAACCTAAGCATCACTTAATGTTTTGGCAACATCGACCAGCAATTATTAAAATCATAGCAACTCCGATTTTATATGATATATTCGACCATTATTTTATTAATTTAAGCTTCTTATATTCTATGTATTTCCTACGTTATTCTAATTTTCACTTATATTTGCTAAATTTTCTTCTATTGTAACTGTATCATATGCAAATAGTATGCATTAAGATACCTCTTTCAATTTCCTTTATAAGCATCTCATTGCCAATTTAAAAATCTTCAAATTTAATTCTTACCATTCTTGTATCTCAATCATGATTGCGTACTTCGAGGTGTCATTCCACAACTATTCTAAGTCTATTGTTTATATGTTTAATAACATGCATATATCTTTAGCAAACACCTTGTCATCATGATGAAAACATTAGTTATCATGATACTCCATCATATGACTTCTCAAAATCAATAATAACCATATGAAGATCCTTTTTTATTTTTCTTGTTCATTAATTGCCTTAAAATAATATCTTCTATAGATCTTTCTAGAACAATAATAAATTGATTCTTTTACCCCAAATTGTTTTTATTTTACTAAGCTCCATTATACTCACCAGTAGCTTTATTTTATGACTCAAAGATTTGATTTTCTTTGTCATAATATTGAACAAATTGTTTGGCTTTCAATTTTGGGAATATTCTTGTTTTCCAATTATTTGATATTTTGTCTTTAAGATTCAATTGAAAAATTTTGTGGGTCAAATTATTCTGCTGTCTTCTAACTTCAAATCTCAATCGGTATCTTATATAGAGTTAAAGCTTCTCCTTTATGTGTTTTCTTCAAAATTAACTATACATTTTTTTAATCAATCTATAATAAAGTTAGTGATATTGTCAATTCTGTGCTTCTTAAAAGATTGAAATGGATATCTGCTTTCATGTCCCTGTTAAATGGTAGAAAATAGGAAAAATTTGAGGTAGGGTCTATCTTGGAAAGGAATGAACGAACTATCATACCCATTGATTTGCATCTCTATTGATGAATCGTTGAAGTTAGAGTAATGAAGGTTAATGCCAATCAAATGAGTAAGCACGCAAGTTGAGGCTTGCATGGTAAAGCAATAGCACTCCAATCTGTTTCCAACCTTTTCAGAATCCTTCTTTACTCATTGTTAAGCAGCAGCTACGACCATATGATTGCTATTCTTTACTGCTATTTTCCTATTTTCAATTTTCAAAAGGACTTTAGAAAATAATAAGCTTAGGAAAAGAAAAAGTCAAAGAATATATTATCAATGGATGTACAGTGATGCAGTTCATTTCATTCTTTGTTCTGTCACTTATTTTACAAATGTAGATTACAAGTTTGTCGTGATTGGTTAGACCAATATGAATTCACATATATATTTCATGTTACAATATTGGGTTTTGATCTCACCTTTAAATTTTCCTTGCATAAATTTTTAAGGTCATGTTTCCAAACTGAGTAGCAAATTTATTTTTTCTCCCTTGTTTTCTCAGTGGGGTGTTGCTTACAAAGTTAATGGAGAAGATGATGAACATATTGCATTAACGGTAAGATTTGAAGAAGAGAAAACTTTTAAGTGCACTTTTATGTTATTGAAATGTCATCTTGCCAATATATGTCTGAAATAAAATTTTAACTTTCCGGTTAATAGTGCAAGTTTACATTGCATAATGCGCTGGTTATTCTATATGCATTCCAAAAAACTTGTCAAGATATTGTTTGGATACCTTTGTGATATGATTGAATTTATGATAATATTCTAAATATTTTTAGAGCATTAATTAATAAATAAATTTAAGAAGAAAAACGTACATTTGAATTTACACATTGCTCAAATTTTCCCTCAATTTTTCTATTTTGATTGTGATCTTGAAAAACTGAAGTTCTCATTGACTTTAGTAGATTTCAAGACAAACCTAGATGAAACTGAAGATTGAGGAGTATCAGAGGTTGCATAGATATGGGATTTTAGGAGTCAATAGCTTTGGGTTTGGAGTGATCCTATGGAGACCACACAGGTTTATTCGTAACCATTCTCGGTCAAATTTTTGAAGTCATCAAATATCAGTCCAAGTATGAAACAATGTTGGGTGGCATACATTTTACACTCGACCTTGGATAAAAAATGCACGGGTTTCAGGATACTTAGTTGATGGCTAATCGGTTATTGCCAAGTTTATTAAATTCAAGAGCTTGTGCTAGATTTGGCTCATCATCCTTGCAAAGTTAAAGCTGAAATTATCATATTTGAGAAATTTAAGATTGAACAAATCCAGTTGAATGAAAATCAACTGTCCAAGCTAGTGGCTAAATATGACAATCCTTACGCATAAGTGGCTTTAGAATTTCTGGCTCCATCATTCAACAAGCAAAATCAATGAAGGTTAGTCAAGTTAGTTGAGGAGGTTTTAGCATGACCAACCAATTTCATGTAGGAAAATCTAATTTGGTGGCCGTCTAATATAGTCATCTAATTGAAATATTAATTCATGTCTGTGAGCTAATCACAAAAAACTTTTGGGTCTTACCAATCATAAAAAATTAGGAGATTGATCTCAACTCTTTGGTGATATCATCATTAGAGTATCTCCCTTGGCAACTAAGACATGATTTCCAACCACACTCGACTAGACTAAATGGCTTCATGGTAAGGGTCAAAACCTCTTGCAGAGTCCTCAAAATGATGGAGAGGATGACTCTAGGAAAATGGATAAGGTTAATAACCACCAGGATGACTGATACATCTCTAAGCCATCGAGGATGTCGATAAGGAATCTCTTTCATCTTAGGCTGACTAGGGCTATCATCCTTGGAGAACGGAATACTTATATTCCTATGGGGTATAATAGAGGATGGTGGAATGGGTTCAAGAGGTGGAACTCCTTCACCTTCTTCAGGGTGTGGGTTTTGAGCTAGGTTAGATTTTTTATTGGGTTGTCTCATTTCTATGGCATTCATTCGAACACGAAGATAGAATATGTTTTTTCATGAAGGACAATCATATCTTCTAAACATTCCTAAAGTCCAATGAGAATTTAATTACACAAGTGATTTTGGGGATGAGACTGTCCACTATTGGTGGTCGTTATTTTAAAGTATGAATGCTAAAGGAGGAACTAATAATTCAATACTTTTCCAAATGATCTAAGGGGCTATTTTTGGTTGCCTAAAAAGGAATGCAGTGTAAAAGAATAGTTTGAAATTATTTGGATGAATGTAAAATAAGTGCATGACTTAACTTTTTTTTTTGTTTGGTATGAAGTGAATACAATGTAAACTGCAAGAAGGTTTTGGTTGGCGGCCGGCGAAGATGGTGCCAGTAGTGGAGGGGCCGGCGGTGGTGATCGGTGGCGGCCAGCGGCAGTGGCAATGACAATGCATTTGCAGTATATTTGGAAATCACCCAAATTGAAGGAATTTCAAATACATTCAAAATGCACTACCGAGAGTATTTGGAATGCAGTCATTTTACACTCTACATTTTACTTTACTTCAAACCAACAACATCAAGCATTTGTCCCACTACATGGGTTTGGCTACATGAATCCTTTTTCTAATAAAGAAAGATCATTTCTAATATTTTCTAACCATGTCTTTGTAGGTCTACCTCTACCTTTCTTAACATAAGTCAAATCTAATACCTCAACTTTTCTAACAGGGTCATTGGAAGGCTTCCGTTTAATGTGGTCAAACCATCTTAGGCGACTCTCTCTAATCTTATCTTTCACTGGAGCTACTCCAACCTTTTCACATATATGCTCATTTCGTATCCTATCTCTAAGGGTAAAGTCACTCATCCACCTAAGCATCCTCATCTGCAACACTTAACTTAGTATTATGCTTCTCTTTTAATGGCCAACATTCGGCACCATAAAGCATTGCAGGTCTCACCACCATCTTATAGAATTTTCCCTTAACATGCTTAATTTTTTTTATTTAATTCAATTTATTTAAATCTAAATCAAATTAAGGTAAGATTTACTTCAATTAATTTAAAATAAATCAAGATTAATTTAATTTGGGCAACAATGTTATCATTTTTAGAAATATCATTTACTTATTTCATAAAAATCCTTTAAAATCTTTCTAAATTAATTATAAACGGGTTAAATCGGGTCGATTTCGGGTTTCCGGGTCAACCCGAACCCGACCCGGTTTTACAAACGGGTCGAAATCCCTAACCCAAACCCGAAATTTTTGGGTCGGGTTCGGGTCGGTTCAAATATTGACAACTCTACTCCATAGCACTTCTCTTGGAGCTTTGTCATATGCTTTATCTAAATCAATAAATATCATATGTAGATCCTCATTTTATCTATATTTCTCCATCAAACCTCTCAATAAATGTATGGCTTCCATAGGAGACCTACCCGACATGAATCCAAATTGATTTTGAGAAACATTAGTATCTCGCCGTAACCTACGCTCCATAACTCGCTCTCATTGTTTTAAAGTATGACACATTAACTTAATTCATTTATAATTCACACACTCTTGTGCATCACTTTTATTTCTGAAAATATGAATTAACACACTCAATCTCCACTCATCATGCATCTTTTTAGTCTTCAAAACAATATTAAAAAGTTTAGTAAGCCAAGAAATTCCTTCATCTCCTAAGCATTTCCACATCTCTATTGAAATATTATCAGGTCCAACAGCTTTTCCATACTTCATTTTCTTTAAAGCCTCACTAACTTTAAATTTTTAAAGCCCCTACATTTGGATTACTTTACACCCTAAATGCAGACAATCCAGATCTCAAATCTCTTCTCGAATTTAAGATGAAAAGCAAACCCTAGCCAAAAAGACTAATTAAAGCCAAAGGAAACTTTTAAAATTCTTAAACAGCCCTTAATTCAAAATTTCCCTTCTAAACAACAATTTTTTTAATGAGTTGATCACTCGACATCACAATCTCATCACTAGATCTAATATGACTAAAATTGCACTCCATGTATTCAACTTTTGAACTGCTCGAATGAAAACTTTTAGACTTTATGGTTGGCCTCCATGATTCAAGTTTTCATGAAATCCCTCTCTAGTCTTATCCTCAACATAAAGCATACACCAAGGTACATCCTCTTGCAAAAATGTATAGTAAGAACATTTACGACCAAAGCAAAAAGATATAGAGTCATAGCTAATCCTTGATACAATCTAATTGACATAGGAAAATATTTGGTCAAGCCAACTTATGTTTGAACACAAGTGACAACTCCTATATACATATCCTTGATGACTTGAATATAAGCATTATTAATTGCTTTCTTTTTTCTAAAACTCTCCAAAGTACTCTTGTAAAAAAATTTCTCTAAATCAATAAATATCATATGTAGATCTTCCTCTCTCTCTCTCTCTCTCTCTCTCTATACTTCAACAAATCTCTTAACAAATGCATAATTTCTATAGTAGACTTACCCAACATGAATTCAAACTGATTTTGAGAAACATTAGTATCACATAGTAATCTATGCTCATTTATTCTCTCCCATAATTTTTATGTATGAAACATTACTTTAATTCCTCTAATTTGTGCACTTTTATGTATCACCTTTATTCTTAAAAATAGGAACCAACACAATAATTTTCCACTCATTTGGCTTCTTTTTAGACTTCAAGTTTAGTAAGCCAATAATGTCTTGATCTCCTAAGCATTTCCATACTTCTATTGGAGTATCCAAATATCATCAAGAACTCAATATAAAAAAATGATATAAAAGAATGAAATTGAATTGACAATTGTAGATCATCCTACAATATCATTTGAATTGTCTCATAAATAACAATTATCTCTATTAGAGATACCGATTCAATATCAAGTGCATCATCATTCATTGTGGAAAATTCTTGCTCAGGCTTAGGCATGTTCTTGATCAATTAATTGCTTGACTTTAGGCTGATCATCATCACCATCAAAAAATTCATCTACAAAACTCGGATCATCATCATCATCATCATCATCATAGCATTCATAGATTATCTTAGAGCAAGAATCAAACTTGTCAACTTAGTGATTGACATCTCTAAATTGTTAGAGTTTGGGATATTAGCTGATAAAATAGATGATAGAACAATTCTTTAAAGCGATCATATGGAGATTTCAAGAAATATTTTGTCCAATCATTTTGATCCTTATCTAAATCACATCCTAAGAGTTACCCTATGAAGATGCTTATGAAATTGATTAAACATGCCACCAAATAATCCTGAATCTTGATGACTCCATAGTGAATATTTGGAAATCCACATATATGCTTTTGTGTTTTTAATCTATTCCCCACAAAAAAAAAACTTGCATCTTGAGCAAATCCTTGGTCATATTAATATCATGTCATCATACAAATGATTCCAATTATCCCATCAAATTTCTCCACTACAGTACATAGGAGCAATTATCAGAATTTGGGTTGACCGGAGTAAATATGCAGGGCAGATATAAATTTGGACATAATTTAATCTGTGGCTTGTTAATATCATTTTTGTACATTAATTGTTGGCGGGTGTTTGATTTATTTACATGTATATATAATATTATGCTATTTGCAGATATTAGCTACTATTAGCTTGGTACAATAACATCAAGTCTTTATCCCACTTTGTGGGGTCGGCTACATGAATTTTTTTTCTCCATTGTATCCTATTAAGAATCAATTTCTCATTTAAATTTAATAATGAAATGTCATTTCTAATATTTTCTAATCAAGTCTTTTTAAGTCTATCTTATCTTTCTTAAAATAAGTCAAATCTAATACATCTACTTTCCTAATCGGGTCATCGAAAGGCCTTTTCACATATATCCTCATTTCGTATCCTGTCTCTAAGAGCATAGCCACTCATCTACATGAGCATCCTCATTTCTACAACACTTAACTTAATATTATGTTTCTTTTTTAATGGCCAACATTCTGCACCATAAAACATTGCAAGTCTCACCACCATTTTAATGGCCAACACAATAAGCCTGATGCATTCCTTCACTTCAACCATCCAACTTGGATTCTACTAATAATATTTCCATCTATTTCACCATCACTCTAAACAATGGACCCAAGATATCTAAAACATGTATTCTTATTAATGATTTGATTGCCCTACCCGCTAGATCTATTATGACTAAAATTGCACTCCATTTATTCAGTTTTAGATCTACTCAAACGAAAGCCTTTAGACTCTAAGGTTGACCTCCATAATTCAAGATTACCTTCAATTCCCTCTCTAGTATTATCAACAAAAATAATATCATTAGCAAAAAGCATACACCAAGGTACAACCTCTTGCAAATTTCTTGTGAGAACATCTATGACTGAAGCAAAAAGATATGGGCTTAAGGCTGATCCTTGATGTAATCCAATTGAAATAAGAAAATACTTGGTCAAAGCACCTTGTGTTTGAACACAAGTAACAGCTCGTTCATACATATCCTTAATGACTTGAATATAAGCATTATTAACCACTTTCTTTTTTAGAACTCTCCATAACACTTCTATTGGAACTTTATCATATGCTTTTTCTAAATCAATAAATATCAAATGTAAATCCTTCTTATTCTCTCTATACTTCTCCATCAAACCTCTCGATAAATGTATAGCTTCCATATTAGACACACCCGTCATGAATCCAAATTGATTTTGAGAAACATTACTATCATGCTGCAACATATGCTCCATAACTCTCTCCTATAGTTTTAAAGTATGACATATTAACTTAATTCCTCTATAATTCGCTCAATCTTGTGCATAATCTTTATTCTTAAAAATAAGAATCAACAAACTCATTCTCCACTCATCTAACATTTTTTTAGTCTTTAAAATATTATTAAAAAGTTTAATAAGCCAAGAAATTCCTTCATCTTCTAAGCTTTTCCACACCTTTATTGGTATATCATCAGGTCCAACAGCTTTTCAACACTTCATTTTTTTAAAGTCTCACTAACTTCTGTTTTACTAATATGCCGATAAAAATAAAAATCTTTATTTTCATTTAGGTTGCTAAGGTCACTAAAATCAATTGCATTCTCACAATCTTTATTGAAAATCTTAGCAAAACATCCCATCCACTTTTGTTGAATATCCTCTTTTAATAAAAGCAATTTTTTATCTTTATCCTTAATATATTGAATCAAATCCTTACTACAATCTCTTTATTTGGCTAATTTTTACATATATCTTTTGGCCTTTTTAATATCTAATTTATTATATTAATCATTAAAAGTTAAAATATTTGCATCACATATTACTTTCTTAGACTCCTTATGAGCCTCTTTATATTAATATATCATGCAAATAACCCCTTATACTTTGTCATCCGTCAAGGACTGCATAGTTCATGCAAGGTCGGTACAGGAGAGAAACTTGATTGGGTTAATCTCACATCTATGGCATCTGGACTCACGTTAAGCAAGAAACTTGTGGTTAATCTCACAACTATGGCTAAACCTATTTGAAATCAAAAGTGACTTGGGGTTATTTGGTTTGCTGAAAATTGAGTGCAGAGTGAAATGGAATATATTGTAAAAGAACTGAAATGTACTTGAAATATTTGGAAATGTTTGTATGAGTGTAAAATAAATATTGGTGGTTACTTTTTTTTTTTTTAAAGTAAATTGAATGTAGTGTAAAGCTCAACGATGGTGTGGGCTGATGTTTGGCAGTGGTGGAGGGTTGTAGTGGCTGTAGGTGATGATCGGCAACGGCAAGTGGTGGTGGCGGCGGCTATTAGTGTCAGCAATGACTAGTGGTCGTGGAAACTGGCATTGGTTGTGGACTGCAGGAGGCAGAGGTGGTGGGGACTGGGGACAGTGGAGCCATGTAATGTATTTTCGAATTTGGGTGAAAGTCGACCTTAGAATACGTCAAAAATGAATTATAGAGGAAATTTGAAACTCACCAAAATTATACTTTGTATTTCTTTTTTCATTAAACCAAATACCAAAGTTTCTAAAACTGTTATATTTGAAATATTTTGCACTCACTTTTCATCAACCCAAACAACCCTTTAGATCAAAGTTGCCCCTTTGTATTGCAACTTTCTTGATGATCATGTTCAAATATCTAGCCTTCTGCTTTCATTTTTTATTATTTTTTTAATATTAATAATGTTTCTTTGTGCCTACATAACATTCTACTTTGCCATGCAGTATCTAGAAGTAAGGGAAAAGCAATATGACCAAAAGGTTTATGTTGATCTGTTTACTGTAAGTTGTGATTCTCTATAACATCATCTTCACTACATACATTTGAGATCTTATCATATAAACTCGATTGAATTAAGATCTAAACCAATTTCAGGATCCATCCTCTCCAATTCCAGCTGTCAGTGGAGTTATGGTGTAAGTGGCACAACAAACTTTGATATATATTTATATATATATTAATTTTGGGTTTTTTTTTTTGGAATGGTTTAAGTTGTCTATTGTGAGAAAAAAAAAATTTTTAAAGTTATTGTAGCTTAATATTTTCTTTCTTTTTTAAAAAATGGTACAAATTTATTATGCTAGTCACACTTTAATATATCTTATTGTAAATTGTTTCTCATCATAGAATTTTTAAAAAAAATCAAGAAAGTTATTGCCAAACATCATTGTGTTGCCTAAGCTATGAAAAAACTGTCCCAAAAGAACTTTAACCTTAGAAATGCTGAATTTTGGAATAGCATAATAGAAAATATGGCTGTGAAAATAGTAGTAATAATAATAAGGCATAAACCTTCATATCTAAAACTTTTCATTTACTCCTTTTTTTATCACAAAAACAGTATAAATATCTTACCTCATAATCTAACCTGAATGACATCAATTCAGATATGTAGCTTCAGCAGATACAAAGGCCAACAAGAACTATTTGGGACCAGCGCCAATTGAAGAGATAGCCAAGTAATATTATTCTTCTCTACGAGCTTTATGTTTGCAATTTTTTCAGACATCAAAAATGGAAATTTTCTGAATGATACAGACAAATTATTCAAGCAGAGGGACCATCTGGAGCCAACCGAGATTACCTATTCCAATTAGAAGCAGCTCTAAATCAATTAGGTTTGTTTTCCTTAAGATTTACCTGTCTTTATTACTTGATTTCAAACATTTTCTCTCTCTCTTGTTGCAGGATGCCCAGATTTGCATGTGAGGGATGTGGCAAATGCAGTTAGGCAAATCCTAAAGGAAATTAAGATAGAGTCCTGATATTGTTGAGGAGTCTAACTTGGGAGAAATTATTCTTTGCAGTCACCGGAAAGTCCACAGGCGAATCAGGATGCGCCACATCACCCGGTACACAGCGGTATAGAGCATCAATACACAACTAAAAAATGACGTAGCACGTCGTGATTCACCTATGAACGGCATCCGGTAACCGCTGTGTACCGGGTGAATCAGTAGGTGAATCAGGATGTGTCATACCCTAAACCCTATAAAATTATTCTGAGTCACTGGACAATCCGTAGGTGAATCAGGATGTGTCATACCACCCAGTACACAATGGTACACATCTACAAAGTGACATGGCACGACTTGATTCGCCTCCGGATAACATCCGGTGACCGCACAGAAAAATTTCACCCAACTTAGGGCCGTCGAAAAACCTTATTGTTAGCTTGAGTTTTATTAGTTTTATAAGCTCATTTATTTAACTATTCAAATGTGGAGTCTTATTTGATGCGTTCAGTTCAATAGTAATTTGACTATCAATATACATATTAGTGTATACCTGTGTTATATTTTTGTACATATATAAATATAGATTGTTTATGTAGTAGTTGTCTACCATTTTCTTTTTGCTTGCTAAGTAAAATTTGTATAATTTATGGTAGCATGTATACTGTTTCTGTTAAAGTTGGTGAATAAGCTTCAAATAAGAACATAGGTGATGAATGCTCTTAGATTGTAGGAAAAATGTTCATTTCATCCAAATATTTCTTAGCTATGAATCTACTTTATTTATTTATTGGTAAGGATTTAGTAACAATAAAAAAATGTTAATTGAATTTTGTTGATAATTGAAGGGTAATTTTGCAAATATGCAAAATTTGAAGTGTTATTCTGATAATCTTTAGGTACTTGTAATTAGAAAGTAGAATTACAGTTGGGGTTGTATCAAGCCTCCAATATTATGATAATTTATTCTGTGCAGAGACCAGATGGCAAGAATCATCCTGATTTGATGTACTTTTACTATCATTATCATTTTGCTATGTTTTTATAAATATTTAGTAAAAGGATAATAAATATATAATTATGAATAAACTTTTCAAAGAGCAACAAAAGCATAGTTAAAACATAACAAATATCCTATTAAGTGAATATTTATTGCACTTTTGCTATCATTTTGAAAAAGCGTAGCAAATATTCAACAAAAGTGCAATAAAAAGACAGTAAATGTGCAGCAAATCCAGATAGTTCTTATCATTCGGATTCATTACAAAATAATCTTTCCAATATTAGAGCACACAATTAATTAATAGGCTTTAACATTATTTAAAAAAGTTGGCATTATTATAAACAGTGAAATGAAAGAATGGATATAGAAAGAAAATAATCAGCAGAAACTAAAAAACAAAATACATAGTTTTTTTAAGCTAATTTCTATTCCTACAAACCTCATTGCCACAAAATAATTACACAGCATTAGCCTTCATCAGCTAACACAATCATAAAACTGAGTTCACAAATTTCATCAATCTTCATTATCATAGTCTTCATCCTCATCTATTTGCATATTTAGGTTTACAAGATTTGAAGGCTCTATCCCAAGATTAGTAACCACATCAGGCAAAGGCCAAGCAGAATAACCTTCTTGTTTGGCCTCTGTTGTTGTTGGAGCCAAAGCTGCTGTGTTTGTGATTATTAAATCGGTTGGATTCTTGTTTTCCTTTTCCTTTTCTGCCACCTCAGTCTCAGCAGCAGGGGTATCAGGATCATCATGTTCGGGTGATAAGTCAATTTCTTCCTCGAATTTCATATAGGATGATTCTTTCTCGATTGTACGATTTAACGGCGGTCGTCCTCGGCCTCGTCCTCTGCCTCTGGCACGCCCTCGCGGACTCATATTGATGCTTCTCATTGCCTAACATAAAACATTGTTAGATTTAATTGACATGATGGAGCTTTAGGGGTTGTTTGGTTGCATTTCATATTCATGTATTTCATTTTTGTGATGTTTGATTTGACACAAAAGACATGCAAAACAAAATTATAAGGAATATAGAATATCTTAAACCCTCAATTTTTCTTGTATTTGAAAATCACTGGGATCAATCAATTTTCAAATTCTGTGCATGACGCATCCTTTGCTTGGTCCACATCTTCGTTCCATCTCAAGTTTATAATAATTTATTGAGAAAAAGATCAAAATAGTCCAACGACTCTTTAATAAAAACCAAAATGAACTTCAACTATATTAAAAGATCATTTTGGCTCAAGTTTTTAAAAAGGAATCAAAATAATCAAGGATCATTTTGGTCCTTTTCCCATAAATTATTAATAGATGTGGATTGTGGATAACAAAAGCAAACCTATGCCGCCTGCTGTGTAATAATAAAATTCCCCATTGACACAAAATTTTACAGATTCTTAAACTTCATTTGGTATAATTTTTTAAAATTTTAATAAGCAATAAAAAAGCTATCACAAACAAAGACTTAGTTGCGTATACGCGACCACTTATTATTAAACGACTGAGGCTGTGCATCCCCTATTCGCACATGGTAATTTCTAAATAGGAGATAAGAGAAAGAGTATTTGAAGTGTATCCTAATAAATACCAAAAAAATATTTTAAAAATGCATGTATTTTAAAAAACATCCAAACAAGCACCTCTTAAGAAAATCCAATTTTTTCTAATAAATCTTTAACATTATAGAGATTTAAGCACATTGCTAATAAATAAAACATAATTAAGCAATTTCAAAGCTTCACTACCTATAGTAAATACATTTATTTTCATAATTTAGAACATTAATTACTTTAATGACCAGCCACTCCTAGTTCAAAACATGAAACATGATTAATGGTCTTAATTATTTGCTTCTGAAAAACTAAATCTTACAGAGTTACAAAGCAGCTTACCGCCTTCGCAGATCTTAAATCTTCTGTCAATATCTCACCATCATGCACTAAAGCTTTTCTGAAAGACAAATTTATCTGATCAGTTAACAAAATATTTTAGAAAATGGGATGATCAAAATCAATAAAACTACTAAGAATTTACCTTCTCCGTGATATTCCTTTCTCATCAGCAAAAGATTCGGTGCCACCAAGGTTTGGTACTTTGTTGACAACATCAGTTAAGAAATCAAATGCACTATTCGTCGTCACACATTGTTTTCTGAAAGGCATAGAAGAAGAACAGAGACCTTAGCATAAACCATATCTTAGAATATGTACAGAAATTCAATTCATGCTCAGGAAGTAGCTTCTTAGCGATGTATAACTATTATAACATCTTAAACTATAAACTTAGAAAAAGAAAGAGATTCATCAAAGAAATATGATTATCATATATGATGAAGCATATATAACTTTGCTATGTTTGTAAAACAAGTTTATAGTCATAATTAGGACAAGTGATTTCTAATATGCATGGATACATCATGGCAAGCAAGCGTTAAGAATATGGCAGGTCTGAAAGCCCGACTTGTTTGGAGGTTTTAACCTCAAATCATGGCAAAAGGGGGAAGAAATTGAACCGGGATATCGTGGCCCAATTTTGATTAGGAAGTACTTGAAAAACTGATATATTGCATTCATTATTATTAAATAACATGAAATTATGTGATTTCAATTTGCAGAAAAATTCAAAAAAAACTAATAAAGATATTTTTCATGAAATGTATGATAAAATATTAAAATATTTATGTTTAATCAACACAATAATTATCATAGAAAAAAAATTAGCATGTTAAGTTTTAAAAAACACCTTGATGAAATTAGGTAAGGATATCCTAACCTAATTTTTTTTTTTTTTTAGCAAAATATATTTTTAAACACTGACGTTGCAAGTCCCAAGTCTTATATGAGAAAGTGGAGGGTTATGTTAGACAGTCAACATCCAGCATAAAATTTGTCAAATAATCATAATATAAATGTTTTAATCATGCAATGAACTTTTTAATACATTGTGTTAATGCTAGAGTGTTTCTTGGAAACGATGCATTGTATAGCCTAAATAAAATAAGAAGTATGAGAGGGCCATTGCACCGACCCCCAGGTGCATTGTTAAATAATGTAAGGGTTCCCATATCATGGGATAGATATGAGCAAAGAAATGGTAGAGTTGTAGAGGACTTCAAAAGTATTCATAGTGGCTATGGCCTATGGGTTTGAAAAGACTAATAAAAATGGTAGAACCACATTAAATTTTATTTTAGCTTATGATTTTGTAATTGCTAATATCTTAATTAAGAAAAGAGATGAGCATCTCATCACTTATAAGAATGGATTAAGTAAAACTCAAATTGATTATTTTCTTATAAAATAAATAAATAATTTAAATTGCAAAGATTTTAAAGTCATTCTGAGTAAAAAATTTATACCCAACATTGCTATAATTTTGGACTTTAAGATGAAATGGTGAAATATAAGAAATAAAGTAAATTGTTGTATTAGGATTAAATAGGAGTATTTAAAGAATGATAATAAAAATATTTCTTACAGTACGATTCAAGATCTCAAGATTTGTGTTGTGCATGAAAAAACTAATGTTATGAGAGAAAAAATAGCTAGCTATATTAAAAATGTTGCAAAGTATGTGCTTGGAATATGAAAAAGAAAACTCCAAATAATAAAAATAATTGTTGGTAGAATCAAAACATGCAAAATATGAAAAATAATAAATTTTACTGTAAAAATTAGTTTAGATGTAAAGGCTTAGAAATTTATGAAAAATATAGAAAAGCATGCAAGAAGTCTAAGAAAATAATATATGATACAAAAAATTTAACCTTAAATGATTTATATAATAGATTAGTTATTAAGGATGCAAAAGATGTATGTATAAGTTAACCAAGCAAAAAGATAGGAAAAATAAAGATATAGTTCAAGTGAAATGCATTAAAGATTAAAATAAAAAAGTGTTTTTATTAATAAGAAGATATTCAACATAGATAAACATGATATTTCGCTAAGCTTTCAACGAAGATCATGAGAATAGATTGCCTTTAGTAACTTTAACATCCTAAATGAAAATAAAGATTTTTGTTTTTATCATCATATTAGTAAAATTAACACCGTCATTGTCAGGTCCAACTCCTATATGAGAAAATTGGAGGGTTGCATAAGGTAGTTGACAACCAGCATAAAACTTGTCGAACAATCATTACAAGAATCCTTTAATATATTGTGTTAATGCTAGGGCTTCCCTGGAAGGACGCGCAGTATGGCCTAAATACAACGACAAGTGTGAAAGGGCCACTGCACCAGCGCCCGGGTGCAGTGTTAAATAAGCATAGGTTCTCACATCATGAACAGATGTGGGTAACGAAACTAAGAAATGAAACTAAAATTAGAATAGGAACTTGAAATATCGATAACCGTTCAGAAAAATTAATGGAATTTATAGATATTATGATCATATCTGTTAACGGCGAATGGCGCACCATAACGCAAAGGTCTCTTTGAAGCCATGGCGCATAGCGCAAGGGGCGGCGCATGCCATTTTAAATATAGCGTAAACTATATAAGAATTATAAAATAATAAGCATGAATATGAAATATCATTAAAAATAAAATACAAGCTATCCAAGAGACAAGAATTCACATTTAAAGACCTCACCCCTTCCTCCTCTCCTATAGAGTCCAATGTCTCCCAATCAAAGCATGCACTCATGAAGAAAATTTATACAAAGCATGCATTCATGAAGAAGCAGACTAACACTAACAACTATTACTAAAGATGATGAATACAATTATATGTCGGGCTGCCGGGGGTTCAAGGAGGCGTTGCCTCCTGGCGGGGCGACCTGGCGGTATCGAGCATGTACCTAGCGGTACCGAGCATTTTTTTAATTTTAAGAGGTGGACGCTTCTAAACCATGGATGCTAGTGAAACACTTCAAGTAGCAATCAATAAGAATCATACCTATTAAGTTGTAAATTCTTGTAAAAAATATTCATAAGTATAATGAAATTTAAAAAAATTTTGGCGCGCTATTTTTTGTCGTGCGCCATACGCAATGGCTCACATGTGCTGCAAATAGCGCGCGCTATTTTAAACACATGTGCCTCACCATGAACATGGCGCCCTAGGTGTGCCGCGCCGCACCGTGCGCCATGGCGCGTGCTATTTTGTGCCATTGACAACTATGATTATGATTCATATGAAAATAAATATTCTATACATCTATGTTGCACCGATACACCTATTTATGAAGGTATGAAGTATTGGGCGCGTTTCAGATATGGATACGCATCTGATACAAGACCGATATGTGTCTGATATGACAAAGTTGTATCCAATTAAAATAACATTTAAATTTAAAAGAACACACGTATCAACCTATCAAAAAACAAAAAAAAGTGTGGAGCCGCTCGTATTTCTTATTCATTTTCGCGACCGTGTGGGTTTAAGCATTTCCGTGACCATAAGATATGAGTTAGGTCTTTTCCATTTCCACGACTGCAAGCATGCGTCTTCTTCGTCGTCAACGAAGGAGCAGCACACGAGCACGCCGAGCAGGCGAGATGAGGCGACATTATTGCAGGAAGAAATAGAAATTCAAAGACAAACCCCTGAAGAAGTTAATCCTCTCATTCCTTCCATTGAATAGTTGAAACTTCATGTGTTAGACAATTGCTTATTTTATTTTTGTTTTTGTACTAGACATTTAATGCTTACTTTCATTTTGATATTATAAGCTATAAGACTACAAATGATGTTCTTTTTTTTGTCATTTCAAATATTATGATTTGATTGATTTCTTAATTTTTATGAATGATTTATAAATTATAATGTCGTGTCCGCGCCATACCCAATCCTATATTTTTAAATAATTGATGTTTCCCTTATCGGTATCGTGTCGTATCCGTGTCACCATATCTGTATCAGTGCAACATAGCTATATAATCAATAAACTAAATGGATTGGAGAGAAGGCAAAGGAAATTAATAGTTTAAGATTTAAACTATAGTATTCTGGTGAGAGTCGTATTAGAAATGGTGTATGTGCGATTATAGATAAATTTTTAAAGAATGATGTTGTAAAATTAAAAGAATTGGATATTGATTTATAACTTTAAATATTATTGTTGATGCTAAGATTATTAATATTATAAGTGTTTATGCTCCTCAAGTAGGTTTGTATATGAGTTCAAAATTAAAATTTTGAAATAACTTAGAATAATTAATATAAAAGATACCTCTTGAAGAAGAAATTTTATTAGAGGAGATTTAAATATACATGTTGGTACAGAGGTAGATAATTTTAAAAGCATTCGGTTATGGATTTGAAGCGACTAATGAAGGTGATAAGTTAATATTAGATTTTCTTTAACTTATAATTTGTAATTGCTAATATCTTATTTAAGTAAAGAGATGAGCATCTTATCAATTATAAGAATGGATATGGTAAAACTCACATTAATTTCTTATAAGAAAAATAAATCGTTTAGATTGAAAAGATCATAAAGTTATTCAAAGTGAAAGTTTATGTACCCAACATCTTTTCTTAGTTTTGATTTTAAGATGAAGGGGGAAAAAATAAAAAATAAAGTAAAATATTATTCTAGAATTAGATGGGGGCATTTAAAAAATATTAACAAAAATATTTTTTAGAGTCAGATATTAGATTTGAAGATTTTGTATGTGCATGAGAAAGCTAATGTTATGTGAGAAAAAATAGGTAGTGATATTAAGAATGTTGCAAAAAATGTGCTTGGAGTATCAAAGGGAAAAGTTACTAATATCAAAAATAGTTGGTCGTTGAATCAAAATGTTCAAAAAATGATGAAAAATAAAAAAAAAATTATAAAAATTGGTTTAGCTGTAAAAATTATGATAATTAGGAAAGATATAAAGAGGTATGTAAGGAGTCTAAGAAAGCAATATGCGATGCAAATATTTTAGCTTTTATGACTTTGGCATCCTATATTTTATGCCATTCATTAAAATTAAAAAGCTTTGATTTGACAACTAGATGTTGAATAATAAAAATACAAGCTAATGTTAAATAATGTCAAAAAAAGTCCATCCAAATAAAAGATGGTAGTATATACCAATATATTCCTATTCAGAAAGAGTGGACATTTATCTAACCAAATCTCTCTTAGACTACCATCTATGATGATATTCAAACAAAAAATTAGAATGTTTAAATTGATCTATTTCATAAAAATTACTCGTGAATTGAATTTTATTAGTTTTCAAAAGGATTTGATCATTCATCCTTCATTAAAAAAGGAAAATTAGTAGGCAAATAAAAGCCCATCAAGAATAGTAGATTTTACCATGTATTCCAATGTCCTAAATATCAAGAAAAACCATATACTAGTTTTCAAGTCAATTGTAAAACACTATTGACGATCATAAATTTCTTCTCTTCTCTTGCAATTTAAGGCATTTACTAAGAAAACATTTAAGCACCTGCTGGATGATTAAATAATCTTCACAAAAAATGAAATTGTGTACGCCACTAGTTTTCATTATGTTAAAGAGGATGGTTGATCTTGATATAATCTTTGTGGGATAAACTTAGAAATTTTAATGAAAGGATAAGTTCATCCTATGTATGTGCACACACATAAAATACATATGAATCACATCTTCAAAATAACAGAATTATTTTATTTAAAACAACAAAAGGAAAATCATAATAATAAAAATTGGCTTCTGCGGTGCCATTGTGCTGCAATTGCGGGACACAGTATTCAACCAGTCAACTTACAGGTGCAAAGAATTTAATGTTTTTGCGCCTTTCTGGATGGTAACTTCATATGCCCTATCACATAGGTCTTGAAGAAATAACTCGAGGGCTTTTGCTGCAAGTAGACAATAAAGATAAAATATTAAGGAAAACAACAGTTACGAGTACATATTCCATTTACAAAGGGAGTCAAGATTAAAACATCCAACATATAGCTATTTGAAGATTTGAAACACATGCTCACTGTTTAACAGCCAACAAGTACTTCTGTCGCAAGATCTTTATCTATGAACCTTAAGTAGCATCAAATTAGAGATTAATGCATTAGATTTGCAAACCTAATTTGCAACTGACATAAAAGATAAAATAATAACACAAACGTGAACTCAAAATAATGATAAGAAAGTATATATCATAACATCAGAAAAATTTCTAATTTGTATCAAGAGAGGAAGGACAAAATTTTGTGATGCCTACCTTCAATTAATCATGAGAGAGATCCAAATTCGTTTGGCAGTGTGAGAGGAGTATAATGAACAACAACAGAAATGGATCCCAATTCTTGTAAAAATTGAGGAATAGTAATTCTCAATACTGACGTTTTTAATAAAAAACTAAAATGCATACATGGATGAAATAATAAGTTATATGCAACTAGATATTCTTAGTTAATTGATGTTTGCTGGCATCAATTTTCACTGTTGGTGGTCATTTATGAGAGTATTTAAAAGCTCGATTTAGGAGCCAAGCCAAGAGATTGCATTGGCCGTGTGCATTGCTTGACCTTTGCTGTGAGAGCATGCCAAAAAGCGCACATATCATGTCGCTCTGCTGCATTGTGTAATCTCTGGTTCACAATGAAATCCTAATTTCTATTTCATGATTCAATTCAACAAATTTCACAATAACTACTGCATGAATGCTTGCTTCTCCTGGCTAGTTCACGTAGTTATTACTCATTTCTCTGTTCTCTCATGGTGGAGTTAAATCACTTCTCGATGGTTATCTTCTGAACACTCTTTTGTTCACTAGTTTTCATCCATGCTTATTACTAATTCTTGCTACTAGTGGCAGTGACTTTTTGCTCACAAACTTTTTCTCGAGAATGCTTCTTGATGCATCCTCTGAATGTTTCATGTTGCCTCATCTTTACCCTCTCGGTTAGCATCACCTCCCCTTCTCAATCACTAACATCTCTCTTTATCTCATTAAGTATTCTTAATTTACAGGGATTTTTTTCATCACTTCAATATTTATATATTCAATTTTTTTTTTTTTGGATTTTGAATAATTGGAAATTATTACTATTATTGAATGTATCATTGTTCTTGCTTTATATTATTATATGATATGATTCAGGTTTAGTCAATTTAAATACTATTGCAAAGTGCAAACACATTATATATATATAGAATGTGTATTGAAGAAAAAAGAGACCTTGTGCATTGAAGAAAAAAAAAATCTTGCACGTCACATTACAAGTTGCACTTTAGAAATATTTGTAATAGTTTGATCAACAACACAGACATGCATACGCACAAAAACAGAGAGATTATTTGATGTAATACAATGAAGATGAAACAAGAATTGCATATACGAAATTGATAAATTATGAACTTTGCCTGGCTAAGCATAAATGGATGCGTATTCAAGTTAGATCTTCGAAAAAATTCATGGAAGGCTAAGTAATGACAAGTTATTACAATAAAGATTAATAGGAAACTCACAAAATTACATCATCAAATAAAAAGTAGAGTGAATGGCATGTAACAAAATCCACAGTTTAAGATCTAGATCATTCACCTCGGAATCCCTCACTTACTCTTGATATCGCTCGGCTTAGCGGAGGAAGATTGCAAACAAGCTTAGGGATGCCACTAGTAGACACGTGATGCCAAGGGGGCTAGTTGCCGAGGAAGGAGCCGGAGTTGGAGGCGCGGGTAGACGTCCGGTGATATTCCACTCTTCAATAAGTCGTTGCTCGTCGAAGACAACCGTCAAGTGAGGAAGGTTACGGTCAACGTATTCCTTGACGGTGTTCTCGGCTCCGAATCCGGGGTCAAAGAAGGGTGACCGGATGACGTCAATCTCCCAGCAAGAATTGAGAATAAGTCCGTGATCAACTTCCGGATCCACCATTCATGATCAAGAACGGAATTGATATGTAGTGATTGAATAAAGGTGGAGCCGCCACTTAGGAGAGTTGGCCAAGAGGAGGGGTTTGGGTTAGATCTTGGATGGGAGGAGGTGGAGAGGGGAGGAGGCGGCTAGGTCTAGGTTAGGGTTTGGAGAAATTAAGAGAAATCTGAAATTAATTTCAGATTAAGTGAAATCGGAGGGAAAATATTTGGGTTTTGAATTTCAAATTCCAAGAGGGGATGGGGGAATTAAGAGGGAAAACCAAAATTTGAATCCCCCTATAGGTCGGCGGCATTAAGAGAGGAGGGAGGGGATTGGGGAGGGAGACTAGGGAGTTAAGGGTTTCCTAATCCATCTCGAAAAATTATGGATGATGAATTCAAATCCAATTTAATTTAAAATTAAATTGAATCTCATTGGAAACTTTCATAATTTCGCTTTTGTCAAATTTGAAAACTTTGGAGCTCACTTTGAATTTCAATTTTGAAATTAAGTTGGGGAGGGTTGAAATAAGGAAGGGATGGTGGAGGGGAGGCCGACGGCTAGGTGGTTGGCCGGCGGGATGGGGGAAGGGGCTTGGGTTTTGGGAGAAAAATAGGTGCTTTGGTTAGGGAAGGCCAGCGGGTGGTTGATTGGAGAAGAATTGAAAGTTGGGGAAGAAAATAGATCGGGGCCGCGAACCTTGGAATCCACCAACGGTCGACGGGTCTTGCTATCACCCTCCTTTGGTTCCTCCTCTCATGAACTCACTTAGAGATCAAACAAAAAACTTAAAATTTCATTTCATAATCATCATCCAATACAAAAAGCTAAGAGACCTTAATATATAGGCCTCAATGAAAGAAAAGCAGAAAGACACAAATGCCCTCGGGGCTACAATAGCGACTCACTACCCATAGGGGCAAACTAGGGAAATACAGACAAAATACAAAAATATATCAAAAGTACAAGCTCTGGATCGTAGCCGTCGATCTACGACTCCGACGACGGTACACATGTCGAAATCTTGGACTGATGTCCTCATCATTATTCTCTTGAAATCAATTTCAAACCTACTAATTTCTACAATCTTTATAAGCAAGCTCACATTCATCAGTTCCACCAAAAGGATAAGAACTCAAGGACGAAGTTTCAACATCTTTGGTATTGATTTAACCATACTTCTAGTGTGGTTATAAAGAAAGATCAAATATCTTCCCAAGGCAATTAAAATTTCATTTTCTTCTTGCATATTCACAAATCAACATTGTTAACATCACTGTATATTATTAATAATTCATGTATCAAACTCCAAGGGATTTGAAGCGTTCTACGCTGTGGAAAATTTTAAATATCTTTCCGGGCAGTTGGAACTCTCCATCCTGGATACTGCCAAAACTGGATAATCAAGCACACTTAAGAGTGGGATGAAATAGAGTATATCACTAGTCTTAACGATGCTGAGGGAGATAGATGGTCTTGATCTTGCATTTAAAACCGATAGTCTCAAGATCTCAACAGCTACCTTCTTACTCTGATTATGCCTTACAATACAATCCTACATTTTTTTATTCATTTGATTTCACTCTATTCTGAATCTTATTTGTTTTTAGTAACGTGTTTCTTTTGCTTTCTACGAAGCAATCACAGGGAGATTTTGGTTGGTTCAGGAAGTTTTAGTAAAAAATTGATTCCTTGCTCACACCCTTCTACATCTCATCCTCGGAGATACAAGTAGCAGTGCCTTATTTCATTCAACACAGCACAACCGTGTGAAGCCTAAATCAGTAAGGTACCATTCAATCAAATAAAGAAATATTAAAGGTCGCAGGACCATTTCTTTGGAAATTAACAAGTGGATTCAACCACAATTATGATATGCATTTTTTACTAGTAAAAAATTCATCTTATGACCATACGTATGATCTACTAAAAATTTGGACTACTAGCTTTAATGAATAAAAAGCCTCAGCAAAAATGCTTATTAAATAAACAACATATCTTGTTAAAATCATCTCCATCAAAATGCAAGGAAAAAGAAAATTGAAATAGTCCATAATAAAGTCAGGTTCCAATAGTAACTTCAAAGCTAGGTACATGCTGAACATAACATGTATAAGCTGCGATAACAACAACATCAAATTTTTATCCCACTACGCGGATAACCTGCAATAAATCACTTAAATCCCAATAAAAACACTAGCATAAAAAACAGGTATTACCAACAGCAAAATTATATGGAGAAGAGTAAATTTCAAAATGAGACGTAGAAAAACTGCATCAATTATATCTAACAATTGAGTTTGTTTTGCATCAATTATATCTAACAATTGAGTTAACAAACATTTTCAATGTTCAATGACATCAACTTGCTTGTTATAAATTTATTTTGTAACTTACAAACTAAAACGGGAACAGGTAATGCAATCTTGCCAACATCTTCGTCTGCTTGCATTATCTTCTTTATTCGTGACTGAATAAGACAAGAATTAGGAAAATCAGTTTTGCAGTCATAATCCCAATACTAGTCCCATATAATAACAGCATTAAAATACAAAAAGCCTACAGTAGCAAAATGTTGGATATATAAGAAAAAAATATAGAACTAGCTCAAACTTCCTAGGCAACCAAATGTTTTCATACAAGCAGTTGTACACAACTATCAACATACAAAAAATTCTTAAAGGCTCAACTCTTCTATCTAAGGATTCAAACAATCAAACCCACCCCCCCAAAAAAGAAAAAATAATAAATAAATAAACCACTCCAACCTTGGGAAAGCTAAGGGTAATGTCTCCAAAGCTACTCCTCAGTTATAGTTGATGAAATATTTATTATAATCACTATTACTTGCATTGCATGGGATCTAAGGAGAAACGCAAAAGATATAATATTCCTAGAAATAGAATATTCTTATTAGAATTAGATGGTTGAGATTCAACCTCATAACCAACAAACTGAGACATCTTGCAACATCGGCAATAAATTCTAAAGTTGTATTGATAACCCATTCACGTTAAGGCCTTAGGATCCATGTCTGACCTTAGAAATTGAGCCTGTATAGGGATTGAGATTTGCAATTCCTGTCTATTTTTCATGCTTTCCTTCTCAAGATGTTTTCCCTTGAGATTTCCCTTGAGACTTGCATTAATATATATGGGACCTCTCGAATCCTCACTGAAATAAACTTTCATAGGCTAAGGTTTCTAGAAAGGATTAATGATTTCAAAGGTGCAAGTGAGGACAAAAATATTAATTGTTGTGAAGTCATCTCACTTAGGAGATTATTCTTGGAGTTCCTTTTGTTTTTCTGAGCATGGGGGTTCATGGATTTGGAAAGAGTTTGTGGAAGTTCTTTTATTGTATACACTGTGATTCTAGTTTTTTCATAGTTAGATAGAATCCTCTTCTCTCCCATGGACATAGATTGGTTGAAGCCATACAATCTATTGTCTAAGTTCCATATAATCTTAGTACCCTTTTCATTATTTGATATTTCTCTTTTAAGTTTGTGATGCATTGAACTCACTTCGAGTGACACTTCCATAATTGAGTTTTGGTGCTCTCTTCATACCAAAATAGCATCAAAGTGCAGTCTGAAAAATGATGACAATGAAATTTTCGATTGAGAAGTTGAGTTTGACAGATGAAGTATGGATGAAATTGTTAGAGGAAATAACCATGAAGTTGTGGCTTAAGTTGGAAAATCCTTATTGATAGGAACAAGACTTTTTCTATTAAAAGAAGAAATGATGCATCAAGAAAGATTGTCAATTATTGAAGAGAAATGAACATCAGAAAGGTGAGAACTATCAAACAAGTCAACATATACAAATACACCAACAAATCGATCCCATATGGATTGTAGTGAGTACTTCATTTGACTTCAGGATTTATGTGCAATTATTTGTGCATTATTGGGTCAATATGTTCATATCATATGTGCTAAGATAAAACATTATTTCTAGTTATGAATCATGTGATTGCTTTATTTATATGGGGAATAATCTTGTGTGAAGGACTATTAGCTTTAGCAGTATATGTTTAAGGATGCATGATGATCTAACTAACATTTTGGCTAAGGTTAGACATGCAATAAATCTAAGGATGAATCTTATATCTTTGAGTGATATGAGAGATGCAATGTACATGTAGTTAAGTGATGTTGAGGTGCTTATGATTTCCAAGGGTTATTTGATGGTCGTTAAAGTCAAGAGATTCAAAGAACTCAATGCATTGCATAGTGCGCCTTTGGAAGCTGCTTCAATTCTATCTTCAACTATGTTGGAGCATCACATTTTCGAGATAATCAAAAAGACCATATTTGTGTTACATTGTTTATCCTAGAGTTGGGTCATATTATTTGAACATGCAAGGTGAGGTGACAACCAAATCAAGGGTACAAAATTCAGTGGTACAAGTACTTTAGGATCGGTGGATCTCCTGTATTATGCAACATATGTGCACATATCTAATAGCTATTTAATTCGAGTGTCATCTAGCATGGTGAGATTGTGTGATGTCAAGCCCTTCAAGGTTTTGAGAGCTTAGAGTGCTCGGATTTAAGATTACCATAGAGGAGATTCAAGTTTTGCCACATAATAGAGTCAAGGGTGATAATTGTTAAAATTGACTAAATATTTATCATGATTGGCATTGCTCACATTTTAGACCTTAGGAGCATTGCAAGAGACTCAAATATTCCAAAAATATTCTTATAAGAATCAAATGATTGAGAGTCTACCTTGTAATTTGCAAATTGATATGTGATGCAGTATTGAAAATCACATATGGGGTTATAGTGATTCTTGATTCACATGAATGACTTAGGATATATGCCTAAGCTTGGAATTATGTCTCAAGGCATGTGCATGGAGTGACGTAATTTGCAATCCCTGCCTAATTTTCCATTCTTTTATTCTCAAAACTGTTGCTCAAAAGACCTATAACTAAATATGTGGGAACCCTCTTCTAGGTTTAGGAAACTCTCTTACCTCATCGGCATACCTTCTCGGTTGCTAGGATTTCTTGGAGGATTAATGACTTCAAAGATGCATGCAAGGAGAGCATTTTATTGAGATAATCTTATTAATGAGATTGTTCATGGGGTTCTTCTCTATTTTGAGGGTTGGTGCACATTGGATTAGGGAAGTGCTTGTGAGGGTTCTTTCATTATGTACACTTTTCTTGGGTTTTTTCTATAATGGATTGGATCATCTCTTCTTTCCCGTGGACGTAAGTTTAGTTGAAACTGAATCATGTAAATATTGGTGTTTTTTATGTTTTTTTTCTTTTTTCCTTCTCTTTTGAGTTTGTTTGTGGCGGATTGAAATCACTCCAAGTAAATTTCCACAATTGAGTTTTGGTGGTCTCATTACGTCATAGTCATTGGCAAGTCCAACAATTGTGTTCTGAAAACCTTTATATTTCCATGCTTATTGCTTGGATATTTTACTGAGTGTAAGACTTTACACGTGACAATTGGTGCCCAATACTAAAAAATGAGAAAGTATAAAAAAAGGAGAATAAATATCCAGTTTTCTAGAAAATGTTTCTCACCCTATCTAAAGCCATATAAGAACAACTAACTATCATGACTCACATTAATTAGAATCAAAACTGCCCATAGAAGCAAGCAAAGCTAGCTTAGATGATCAAATACTCATATTACTAACAATGGAACATGCTTGAATCATAATCACATCATAAGTTCAATGGAATGAACAACTAATACAACTGCATGTTTTTAATTAAAAGATGACCAACTTTTAACCTAAACTCTTCCATTTGGAGGCCAAAATTGTCTTTTAAAATCCGACAAGTCAAATCCATCAAAGCACACTGATCAACAAAGAAGACAAGCTAATCAAACATATGAATAAAAATCCCCTCCCAAATACAGTGAACCGCAGAGGCGAATTACCAAAATCCTTAACTATATACTACATCATCGAAGAATACAAAAAAAAAAGACATGCATCAAAACACACATGAGCAGCTCAAAACTACCGAATTAAGAAACGTACAAATCAGCTGAGAAAAAACGATTAGATAAAAACCCTAAATCTTAAACCCTAGGTACTAAAGATCCTCTCGTTCCCATAGATTGAAACTAAGATACTTCATAAGACCGAAAAAAAATTGCCCTGTCTCTCTCCCTATTCGATTTAACAGAATGGTCCGAAAGAAAGAATCGCGGCGAGAACTTACGGCGGGGAACCGAGTGCCGAGCTTCTTCCTCATCTCCGCCGATAGCTCCCTACCTACTTCCTTCTCTCGCTCTCTCGCTCTCTCGCTCGCAGTGATCTACTTCTATCGGATCGATTTCGAGCATAAACACGTCTCAGATCTCAGAATCGTCCACTTCCTTTGCCTTTCCACTCTTTTTTCGGCTTTTTTAAGAAATTTTTATTAAACGGCGTTATATATTTATAAATATATAGCTTGTAGCTCATAACAGAGTTTAAATCGATAAATTTATTTAAGGTTGTTTTTGTTGGAATTCAAGTGGGCTTAAATTTTTTTTTAAGGCTTTGAAAATATTGATATTTAATTGGATGAAAAATAAATGTAATATAAAATAAATTAAACATAATATAAAATAAATTAAATGTAATGTAAAATATTCTAATTTATTTTGAGGTAAAATGAATTCGCATAGTTTAAGTGAAAACTCTTTCATAAAAAATCAAGCGGCATGTATCGTCACTCTCTGTCGCAATTCGCCTACGGACCATCACCACCCCTGGCTGTCGGCTAACATTGAGCATGCTATTTGCAACCACCCCCATCCAACCACCACCATTGTCGTCTACCGGCCACTACCACCACACCGTATATGACTTGCTTGCCAGCCTCCATTAACGCTCCCAAACCACCAGTGAATCACTTGACTACCCCTGTCAATGGCCACCATCATTGCTTGCCAGCAAACACTGCTCACCCCCATCGCGAAAGACCCACCAGCCTCCGACGACCACCACTCTAACAACCCAAAATGTAAAAAGTAATTTTAGAATGTAAAGATTTGAAATGTTGTTTTTTGAACCAATTTGCATGTGTCATGAAGATTATTTGTGCATGAAAAAGGTTGCAGTGTTCTAAAATAAGTCCTAAGGATGTGGAGTGAATTTTTTACAAAATCTTAAAAATGTTATTATTTGAGCGCCACAGTGTTGTCTTCTGAGCATCATGCTGCTGCTACAGTACCAGACGCTAAATAGTGACATTGGAGCACTTTGTTTTCTATAACTTTGGATTTTTGAACAAGTATAACATCGTAAGAAGAAATGATGCAGCGCTAGGTCAAAATTTGCTTTTTAAAAATATAATATTTCCACTATTACACTCATTCGAACGCCTCGCTAGCCGAAGCAGGAGAGAGGAGAGGATTTCTAGAGAAAGAAACTCTGTTTTAAGTTACTTCGAGTCTTTTTTAGCTGTCGAGCTAGTTGAGAAAGTTATTTGGATAGAAATGTGTCACAGTATGTCTACCTTAATTTTCAAAAATTCGATATTTTTAGGATTTTTCTGGCTAAATTTTTATTTTTGTTATGTAAAAATGAGGATACCTTTGTATTATTAAAACTTTCTCCGCGTAAATTTTATATATCATAGATATTAAGATTATGAATATTTTGAATATTTTTAAAAAATTTCTTTGTAATTTTGGAATTTGTATGATTTTTACTGAATATAAAGTAATCTAGACTTTCAGATAGGATCTTGGAATGTAGATTCTCTTATAGGCAAATTAATAGAATTAATTGATATTATTATTCATAGGATAATAGATATTTTATGCATTTAGGAAACTAAATGGGTTGTATAAAAGGATAAGGAGATTAATAGTTTAGGATTTAAACTTTTGTATTCTAGTATAAGTCATACTAGAAATGGTAAGGTGTGATTATAGATAAGAGTTTGAAGAAAAATATTATAAAAATTGGTAGAATTGAAAACTTAATTATAGCTTTGAAGATTAATATTGATGCTAAGATTTTTAATATCATAAGTGATTATGCTCCTCAAGTAGGTTTAATATGTGTTTAAAATTAAAGTTTTAGAATGACTTAGAAGATATTATTCAAAAGATACATCTTAAAGAAAGATTTTTTATTGGAGGAAATTTAAATGAACATGTTGATAGAGAGGTAGAAGATTTTAAAAGTACCCATGGTGGCGATAGGTTTGGAGTGACTAATGAAGGTGGTAATACAATATTAGATTTAGCTCTAGCTTATAATTTTATAATTATTGATATCTTATTTAAGAAAAGAGATGAACATCTCATCACTTATAAGAATGGATAGAGTAAAACTTGGATTAATTATTTTCTTATAAAAAATAAATCATTTAGATTGCAAAGATTATAAAGTTATTCCGAGTAAAAGTTTATGCATCCAACATCGCTTATTAGTTTTAGACTTCAAGATGGATGTGAAAAATATAAAAAACATAGTAAAATGTTATTCTAAACTTAGATGGGGGCATTTAAAGAACACTAATAAAAATATTTTTAAGAGTAAGATTTGAGATATTAAATTTTATCTATGCATGAGAAAGCAAATATTATGTAGAAAAAAGTAACTAGTAATATTAAGAATGTTGAAAAGAATATGCTTAGAGTTTTAAAAGAAAAAGCTCATAATAATAAAAATAGTTAGTAGTTGAATCAAAATGTGTAAGAAAAGATTAAAACTAAGAATCTTTGTTATAATAATTATTTAGATGTAAAAACTCTGAAAACAGGAAAAGATATAAAGAGGGTCGTAAGGTGTCTAAAAAAGCAATCAGCGATGCAAAGATTTTAGCTTTTAATGATTTATATAATAAATTAGATTTTAAAAAGAGCAAAATGTATATGTATAAGTTAGTCAAATAAATATTTATGATTAGTAAGCATTTAGTTCAAGTGAAGTGCATTAAAGATGAAAATCAAAAAGTTTCTTTTTTTTTAGAAGAGGATATTCTACAATGGTGGATGAGATATTTTGCTAAGCTTTTTAATAAAGATTATAAAAAAATGATTGACTCTAGTGACCTTAGCACACTAATTGAAAATAGATATTTATTTTTATTGTTGTATTAGTAAAATCGAAGTTAGAGAAGCTAAGAAGTTAAAGAAAATGAAATATGAAAAAAACTATTAGACCTAATGATATTCCAATAGATGTGTGGAAATGCTTAGGATAAGAAGGAATTTCTTGGCTTACTAAACTTTTTAATATTATTTTAAAGGCTAAAAGATGTCAACTGAGTGGAGAATGAGTGCGTTAATTCCTATTTTTAAGAATAAAGGCGATGTACAAGATTGTGTGAATTATAGATGAATTAAGTTGATGTGTCATACTTTAAGACTTTGGGAGAGAGTTACGAATCATAGGTTACAACGTGATACTAATGTTTCTCAAAATCAATTTGGATTAATACAGGGTAAGTCTACTATGGAAGCTATTCATTTATTGAGAATGTTGATGGAGAAGTTTAGAGCGAATAAGGAGGACCTGCATATGATATTTATTGATTTAGAGAAAGCTTATGATAAGGTTCCAAGAGAAGTGCTATGGAGAGCTCTAGAAAATAAAGGGGTTAATAATACTTATATTCAAGCAATTAGGGATATATATGCAGAAGCTGTTACTTGTGTTCAAATATTAGGTGATTTGACAAACTATTTTCCTATTTTAGTTGGATTACATCAAGGATCAGTGTTAAGCCCTTATCTTTTTCTTTAGTCAAGGATGTTCTTACTAGACATTTGCAAGAGGATGTACCCTGGTGTATGATTTTTGCTAACCATATTCTTCTTATTGATAAAGACTAGAGAGGGAGTTGAATGTAAACTTGAATTATGGAGATCAACTTTAGAGTCTACAGGTTTTTGTTTGAGTAGATCTAAAACCAAATACATGCAGTGAAATTTTAGTAGTAATTGATCTAGTGAGGGTTTGTGAATTTGAGCGATTAAGTCATTAATAAATGTACTCATTTTAAATATATTAGGTCAATTGTTTATAGTGATAGTGAAATAGATTGGGATATTGTTAGTAGATTTCAAGTTGGATGGTTGAAGTAGAGGAATGCATCAGACTTGTTGTGTTATAGAAAAGTCCCTCTCGAACTTAAGGGAAAATTCTATAAGATAGTAGTGAATTTACTGATTTTCACCACTGTACTATTTACTTTTCTCTATAACTTACTATTTTATTTTTTTATATATCTTACTACTACTGAGTGTGAGCTTTATTATTTCTGCATTGTTTCTTGATCATATAACTGTTACAGTTATAATTTGACTGATAATATATATATTTCTTCTTTACCATTTTTTGAATCTGATTATAAGATTTTAGTGCAACGTGCTTGATTGTTTAGCACATTATATGTGGTTTAAATAATTTCAAGTTAGGGAAGAAGATTAAGAGTGAGAGGCTGATCAAGTTTCTTCAGGTTTACTATTAGTTGTTACTTTCTGTCTGTAGTTATTTTTTGTGCTCAGAAGTAGAATGATGGATTTTATTTATATGATTCTTGAGTATTATATATAAATTTTTATGAATTGAATAGTGATATGTATATTAATTTTTTGATAAATAGAATTTTCTTATGCTGATATTTCATTGATCACTAATAAAAAAAATTAGATAGCTCTAGTTGGAATTGATATTAAAAGAAAATAAAAGAATAGTTCTTTTAAATTTGATTTTTTGGCGTAACAAATTTGGCATTAGAACAGTTAATAAAAGAATTGATTGAATTATTACAAGAGCTATAGAAAATTGATTGTGAGTCGGGTAAGAGATTTGGTAGATTCAGTTGCATTATTTTACATTTCATTCTATAAGTGAATGATATGTGATTAAATTAATTGTATGATTGTATAATTCTTTGACAAGTTTTAATTTGTGATTTGATTTTAACTTAAATTGATTTTTCATCATATAAATTTGTTTTATATGAATCTTATACACGAATCCTTAAAGAAAATTTCATGAATGATTTTTTTTGAGGTGGATAGATTCTAATAAAAAGTAATTTTAAAATGTTATATTTTGAACCCATTTTCATGTGTTAGGAAGAGTTTTATTTCATGAAAAAGATTGCATGTGTTCTAAAATGAGTCCCAAGGGTGTGTAGCAAATTTTGGTGTGGACCTCCGAAAGGACACCGCCATGCTACAGAGTGTAGAGGGTATACGACCGCACCACCCTGAGTGATAGAGACGATCGCGAGCCTCCACGCTCTCACAAACGGGCCAATAGAAGGGCAGATTAAATCGTGCATATGACTAACTGTTGGTGGAATTTTGAAAGCATGTTTTGAAATGTTGGTTTTCTTTGGGACTTAAAATTAAATTTTAATTCTAAAATCGAATCATCCCGTTAGAAAGAGTATATCACCTCG